ATTTTGATTTGTCCTGCTTCGTGGCGTTTTCTTTCTGCCCTTTTGGCGGCGGAGTCACTTTTGGTGATTCAGAGGAACTCTCGTGCTTATGCTGATCCCTATGATCATGCTCATGATCAAGATCGTGATTATGTTCACGAGCGTCCCTGTGTTCATGTTCATGATCATGATTATGCGTGTGATTTTCCTTATTATCCACAGATTGTGTGCCAAATAGTGCTCCTAGATCTTGAGCAACCTTGAAACAAATTTACATTTATTTTGGAAGTTATTCAATGAAAAAGATTATAAAAAAATCTCTAGGATATTTAGCAAGTATTTAATCACTTTAGGATCAGTGACTTGTTTTTTTGCAGGTATTGGTTTTGGACTCCTCTTGGCCATGGGGTAGCGCTTAGCCATGTTTCTGTAAATTTTCATGGAACGTCCCATTGGATAACCACCATTCACGTTTCTTTGTTCACCTAGAGAGAGGTAGAGCAAATTTGAATCCTGTTCTCTGTTAGTGAAATCATTTTCATTGGTTTCTCTGTCCTGTCCTCGAACCACAGACTCTTTGTTCAACAATTCACCCCATGACATTGGACCTGAATTCCTATTACAAATAATATCAATGAAATACTACATTCAACATTATATTTTACAATAATTTTTGGATATCAGTTAATTCATTAACTCGTGAGGTTTATTGGTTCTATCGCCTCTGTATCTGTCATAAAGCATCTGACGACCATCCATGTATCCTTCATTCTCAACATCTCCAACGTTATATGATCCATCCTGTAATTCCTCCAAGAAAAATTTAGCCAACTCTTTATTGTCGACGTTCAATCGTTCAGAACCACTGCCTCGTTTACGACTGGAGCTTCGTTCACGTTCTCTGAAGAGAGAGGTCACTGGCTCCTCCTGTATATCATCAAATAATAAGCTGTTCCCTCTCGTGTAATAATATCGATCGAAAGAAGAGAAAGGTTACCTGTTGCGGGATGTTCTGTAAATAGTTTATTAATGCCCTTTCCAACAATTTGTTGTTCAGATCCTGGAAACCGTTTCCTACAGTTTCCAATTGTCCATTTTCTGAAAGAAGAAATTAAACAAATATTTTTAAAAAGATAGAATAAATTTGTAATGATACAGTATTGAAGTATTAGGCTTATGAGGAACACATTAATTTAGATTGTTCTCCTTATACTATCCCCTTTAAACCATTATATGGAGAATTACCATTGGGCAAAAATTCTATCTCCTCGTCTTCTTCTTCTATCTCTCTGTCACCCTGATGATCTCTGTCGAATTTTTTCTCACCTTCCCCTCCATGATATTTAAAGGAACGAAGATCGTTGTAAGCGCTCTTTAAGGACTCCTCCATGGTCTGATGGGGCACTGCAGACAGCCCCACCGTTGACCCCATGAGTAGGAGCACTATTAACCATTCTTGTGATATCATTTTCCTTGAAAAAGAGTGTAAATTTGACAAATTCTAATTTGACAAATTTTTTAAAGTAGAAAATTGAAATAATACTTATTATTTATTTTCTTTCGTCAAAAATAAAATGGAATTGTATACAATTTTTTACGTAAAAAATCTAAATATTGTAATATTACGGGATTAAATTAGGTTGTTAAAGAGTGAATTAAGAACATTGACATGGATTCAAGATCCAGACAAAGCGTGGAAAGCGCGTTAGCAATTCCGTTTAATCAGCTTTAAGTCTGTATCGATTCCGTTGAAAGGCTAGCAAGAAGTCCCTCTGTTGAAGACGTAGTAGTGAAAGCTGGTGATGCAACGGGGATTGCTTTACCCGTGTCAATTATCGTTTCAGCTGGTGAAGACGAATGCCTCTGTATCGATCGACGATTATTGAGTCCCATTATTCACGGATAATTTAAATGCGCCATATTTTACGCAGGTCAACCATTGAACATGAAACAGGACTCATCAAAAAACTTATAAAAATATTTGTAAAACTCTTTCTCCAAGAATGTTTATAAAATTATCATACTAAATGTTTCAATTAACGTATATATAACGCATCATTTCTATTACAACGTAGAACAAGCTAGAAACGCAAGAATCGCGTAAATATCAATTCACCCTAAAACGAAAATACGTAGTATACATGCGGATGTCCAAATTGAATCAATAACAGTCTACTGCGCAAATTTCATTAGTCGGAAAAAATGCAAACTTTATCGACAATTTTTATTTCTATGCTTCGTATCATCGGATCATTCGCCGCGTATCGACGCTAACAGATGGTAAGGTTAAATTTGAACCACTAACTTCGAAACTACCAATCTATATGCACAATATTTTCATAGGTAGAATTACTTTCTTCTTCATATAGAAAGGATTAAAAAATATGTGAGTTATGGATCAATGCTCAGTTTTTATTAGTGTCTGATTCTTTTTAGGTGGTGAATAAAGAGGTTAAGAAGAAAATAAAGGGTACAGAAGAAGGCTGACTCGATCAAGGAATAACTTACTTACTTTTAATTACTCATTCGCGTGCCACAATCCTGTTTTTAAAGCGTCTCCCTCAATTCACTGGCTGTTCACTGTTGTCGCATGGAATGTAACGTCTGTTTTTCATGACTACGTGGACGAGGCCTTTTATATAGGGGTGGCTAAAATCGATAGGGCCGCGCATGGATTTCGCAACGTGCAGCAACAAGTAAAGGCGTGTGGGGTGTGACTGAAAACACACCAACCGGAAAATTATAGACACGCGTTAGGCCAACCCTTAGACGAACTAGCCAATCCTCATGATTAAACGGCCGGTAATCACTCCGAGTAGTTTCAAGATGCTTGGTGAAGAACGATGGTTAAAGGATGTTGACGAAAAATATAATGAAGTGTCCTCGAAACACGCTCCTTGAAAGTTGAGTTGAAGATGATTTGAAATTTCTTCAGAAGTTGAAGAAGATGTAGATTATAGAGGATCATGTATGACCTGCAAGAAGGAATTCTAGGATTGATATTTGAAAGGGATGGAATTTTTGTATTCCTGAATTGTTAGAATTCTTGGGAATCTGGCAATTACTGGGATTAATTATTTTCAGATTATTAGAATTTTCAAAAGGATAGAATTAATATTTTAATTTTTGAAATTGGTGAAATTTCTTGTCAAAGTTCTAGAGAACTTAGAATTAGTATTCTTGATATTTTGAAAATTTCCACTCGCGATTTAAACTATAAATTTCGAAGAATCACGTAAGAATAAAAATCTTCTTTCGATGTTTTATTGCATCGAGTTTCTTGAGAAAAATTACTTATGACTTATCTCTATGTAGAAAGGGAATCCTTGAGATTAGTATTTAGAGAAGTTGAGAATCAGTAGTCGATCGGTTTTTGCTACTACGTTTTAATACAATTTTCTGGGACAAAAGAATCTTCAAGAGGTGGGAGAACGCGGTAGAAAAGGTACGGCAGGGTTGGTCGAACTTTCTTAAAGAAAATTCTCGCGGATCTGAATTTCGTTTCTATGGTTTCGTCTCCTTTTACATTTATCGAACGACGCATCACTTCCATTTGAAGAAATGTGATCACCCATGTGCTTGTGACCAATGGGGGTTGAATTAAATCCTGTAAATACAATTTTGATTGTACCATTGAAAAAATATATTAGTAATATCTATCTCTTATTGCTTATTCTATTATACAGGATGTCTTCAAAGGTCACAGGTTGTCCTCCGTCGTTACTGAAGGCTGCGATTCCTACAGAAATAAATTTCATGTTTAATTGTAATTTTGGAAATCGAATATCATTTCAAAATTATATTATTATACATTTCTGAACGCATTTTACTATCAGGTTCAACGTGCAGGAATAAAAATATGCATTTATGTGCAAAGACACAACGGAGATCTTAAAAACTCTGGAAAAAAAAGACCTTACTATAAAAATATTAAAAATGATAAATATGATACGTACGAATATGAAAGAAATGATATGTATCTAATGAAAAAGAAAACAGTAATAAAAATGAAAACCCAAAATATTGTTCCCTTATTCCAATTCTTCTAAAAAACAAATACAAAATTTAATTGTATAGGGTGTAGAATTATTCCAAGAAGAAAACTAACAGTTCTCTATAATATAGTACACAGAATCAAGAGAATATTAATTTCCCCATTTCGAGTAAAGTAATCACTCATTCACGGAACGAACTACAGTATATTTTAAGCAGTCACATTGTCTTCAGCTTCGACTATCAACACGTTGCCTTGGTGCACGTACACTTAGACCAGACAGACATTGTTCCATGTAGTCAACCTTCCATTTATGTATTGCAAATCATCGAATATCTCTAACTGCGTTCTTTTTCTCCTAAAAGTGAAATCAATACCCTTTACCAGATATCACTTATCCAGCAACATGATAAGAAACTGGTTATCTCTGATAACAGAGAGCATTACTGAATGTTCGACAAGTGATCGTGAGCAAATAGTAAAGGAAAGAGTTCTCAAAGAATGACACTGACGGAATGTGATTATTGGTTGAGTCTGGATTCCATCATTTTACCAACTTCTTGAACCCTTAAACAGATTGTAAAAGAGACAATAGAGTATCTTTTAATATTTTCAAAAGAGCAAAGTGACCTGTTTCAACGTGATAATATTCACCGTTACCGCCTGATCGATCTGTGTAATCCCCTGCGCCGCTTGACGTTCATTAAAATTAATTAATTCGACAAGGTTTTCGCGCTTTTCGTGTCCGCTAGAAAAACATACGCCAAGGAGATATATTTGACAGACGATGATCTTTGGTTACCTTATATGAAGACATGGAAGTCAGTATCCTTAATCGTGTCACATCTGAAATATTGACCGGTAATTGGTACCAATGTATCTTCATTTTCTTTCTCGTCTTCTTCACTTCTTTGAAAACCTCTAATCTATTCTTCTTTCCTATTGTATTTAAGATAATTTTCTTCTTTCCATTGTTCTTCCATTTCTATGAAATGCTTTTTGAATATAATTGAACACACCTAATCTGTTTTCTTCTTATTTAGAATGTTTGAACATAATTGAAATTAATCATTGAATTAATCAGTTTGTATAATAGGAAGTGTAAAGAAGAGGTGAACAAGTTTAGTCGTAGAGGGTTTAAACGAGCTTTTAATCACGCAGAACCCGACCAGGCACACGTTCAAGATATAGAAATGCAAGAGAGCCCAACACTCACTTCACCACCTGTTCTTCCGGGGCGAAATGTGATCACTGCACAGCCGCAAGGTAGATGATTTGAAGATTTTTTTTCGCTAGATTAAATGAATGATATTTTTGTGTGTAGGAGAGGTTCAACAACCGAGAAGACCGATTCCAGTGAACACCATGGATTGGATATCTACCCCAAGGTCGCAGCTGAGTGCTCTTTCCGGAAGTCACTTCCTGGGAAACGTGGAGCAGTTAGAAATACAACAGATCGTCGATTTGAGCACATGTCAGTAACCTGAAAAGAAACAGTTGTATAGAATAAGCTTAATATTGTATACAGGATGGCTCAGCTAAATGGGATCACCTAAATATCTGCCTTCTTTGTAGTTGTATGAAAAAACTTCTCAGTATGAAGTTACACTATTTCAGGGGCACATATAATCATGGAAATGATTTTTTCTCAAGGTCATTTTTTTACGAGACTTCAAGGTCATTGTTATTTTTTTTAAATGGAACCCTATATTTCTTTTCAATACTCTTATAGAGAGTGAAAAAACAAATTTAACGACCTTAATGATCATACCATTCCCTTCATTCAATTTCGAGATATTTGGGTCCAAAGATAATTAAAATTTCCTAAAGATTTACTCAAGAACATGGAGTCACACATTCGTATTCGAACGAAAACATTACATGATGGTTGCCTACCACATTATTCGACGTGTGCAAGGACAGTGCTAGACAGGATGTTTAGAGGACATTGGATCTGTCGGATAAACTAAAAGGTACAGTTTATCGTGAAAAACCAACAAGATAATATGACGGAGAATATGAAGGAGAGGTTTGCAGTTGCATGTGCATCCATAACATTGCAGGAAATAGAAAAAGCATATGAAAAATTGATCAAAAGATTCCAATTATGCATAGCAGTAAATGACCATCGTTTTGAGTATCTCTAACCTTTGGAATTCACAATTAGTTGTAAAAGTGTCTCCTGTTACTGCTTCCAATAACAGGTAAAGCTTATGATTGGATACGAATGTGTGAATCAGTGTATGTACTGCGTGAATCCTTAGGAAATTTTAATTACTTTCAGACGCAAACATCTCGAAATTGAATGATGGGAGTGATATGGTTATTAAGGTCGTTGAATTTGTTTTTTCACTCTCTACAAGGATATTGAAAAAAGATATTGGGTTCCATTTAAAAAAAATAGCGATGACCTAGAAATTTCGTAAAAAAGTAGCCTTGTGAAAAAACCGTTTCCACGATTACATGTGTCCCCTGAAATAGTATAACTTTGTCCTAAGAAATTTTTTCATACAAAAACAAATAAGGCAAATATGTAGGATATCCAATTTAGCTGGTTGTGAGCCACTCTGTATAATATATAGGTACATACTTACACTGGTAATGAAACAAAACGTATAACAATTTTTAAGGGGGCTTTTAAAACTGATTACATATTGGTAAGACTAGTCCTCGATTTATGTTATGTTTTGGCTCATTTTCATCGAGAGAAGTTCATCGATCTATTGATACGTCTTCTTTTTTCTCGCTATGTGTATTCACTTTCCTTGTCAATATGTTTAGGTTTTCGGATTAATTGTGAGCTAAAAACACTGAGCGGTGAGGGAAGAGTGGGGATGGTTTGTTCACATTTAACGAAGCAGATTTCATTTTTTATCGGAGTACTAGTGTATAGAATAGGCACTCCTTAAATATCTCGTCTGATTAATTGAGTTTGATCAGACTGTAGCGCATTACGCTTATCAACTTTTGTAACAATTAATGAATGAGAAAAATTGAATAAAGTATTCTTCTTTATCAGTGCTCGGTAGATCAGAAAGGAAATTCCAATACAGGGTGAAAGTGCCAAAAGCGGAAACGTTGTTCTTAGCGATGGAAATGAAACCTGAGGGTCAATCGAACGGCTGGAGTTGCTCGAAATTTGTTTACGGCGATTTCGCATTACATATGGTGGATCAATGCGGCGAAACTGCATTTATAATGAAAATGAACTCTAGATGGACGTATACATTAAACAAATTGCACGTGAGTGAGAATTCCTCACTTTCACGAGTGTACATTTTCGTAATGATATTTAAATAATAAAATTTGATATGAATAGAAAATCACAGTTGGAAGTTCGAACCTAATTGGTACAGTTGAGGAGAACTTCAATATATTAGTATCAAGTTTCACGGTT